TCCAGATTGCCACTTGGAAACCAATGATTAGCCTATTACAAACCAAAGTACTGTTTAGTAACGGCTATTAACGGCTAACAAGCCTTTAAGTAAAACGACAGAGTTTCATTGTTAATGAACTTAAAACAAAAGGAAAACGACTCCGTTCTGCAACTTCGATCTTCAGCCTCCTCTTCAGTCTGCAATCCTTCTTGCATCAGGACTAAGGAAGTTGACACCCACCTTCAAGTTGTGAGTGCTGTCTTGACTCCCAACTTGTCCAGAAGATCCTTCAGTCGATTCCTGTCCAAACCCTTAGTGAATATGTCAACAAGTTGATTGATTGTACTTACATGGAACAGCTTGATCAAACCAATCTTTAATCTTTCTCTTGTAACGTGCATATCAATCTCAATGTGCTTTGTCCTTTCATGGAACACTGGGTTCTCTGCAATGTGGATTGCAGACTTGTTATCACAATAAACAGCAACAGGAAGAGGGACTTTGACACCCATTTCACCCATTAAAACTCTTAACCAATCAATCTCACAAACCAATGGAGCTAATGCTCTATATTCTGCTTCAGATGATGATCTGGAGACTGTTGTTTGTTTCTTTGTTTTCCAGGTCAGAAGAGAACTTCCAAGGAAGGTACAATACCCTGTTGTTGATCTTCTAGTGTCTGGACAGCTGGCCCAGTCTGAGTCACAGAATCCCACAAGTTTCAGGTCTGCTTTGCTGCTGTAGTAGATACCTTGATCAGGGCAGGATTTGAGATACCTTAGTACTCTGTAGGCTGCTTGCAGGTGTTCTGAGTAGGGCTTCTTCTGGAATTGGCACAGCTGCTGCACTGAATATGTCAAGTCAGGTCTAGTGATAGTTATGTAATGTAACCTTCCAACCAATCTTCTGTAATGTTCTGGATCATCAAGTAAAGTTCCTTGTGTTGCTGTTAACTTGATCTTTGGATCTGATGGTGACTTGCATCATTTAGCATTCAAATATCCTGTATCAGAAAGCAAATCCATACAGTATTTTCTTTGACAAACCATCAATCCTTCTGCTGTCCTGTTCACTTCTAATCCAAGGAAGTATTTCAAAGGTCCAAGCAGTTTGATCTTAAACTCTTTGCTCAAGGAGTTTTTAACTTGATCAATGTCTTTCTGAGCATCACCAGCCAGTATAATGTCGTCCACATAGACAAGTAGAACAACAATTCTCCCATGAACCCACTTAGTGAACATGGAGTAATCTGAGCTTGACTGATAAAATCCACTTTTCAACAGAAAACCAGTTAACTTGGCAAACCACTGCCTTGAGGCCTGTTTAAGGCCATATAAAGACTTCTTTAGTTTACAAGCCATCCTCTTAGGGCTTCCAGGTGGTAAAACAATTCCTTGAGGTACCTGCATGTACACATCCTCATGTAGATCCCCATTTAGAAAAGCATTGGAAACATCCAACTGCTCTAGGGTCCAATTCTTCACTGCAGCTATGGCTAACAATGCCTTTACTGAGTTGATCTTTGCTACTGGAGAAAAAGTATCCAGAAAGTCAATCCCATATATCTTTGTGAAGCCCTTGGCCACTAATCTTGCTTTGTACCTCTCAATTGTACCATCCTGCTTTAGTTTGAGCTTAAATACCCACTTATAACCAACTATATGTTTGTCTGGTGGTGCTTCAACTATTTCCCAGGTCTGGTTTGCTTCTAGAGCATGTATTTCTTCTATCACTGCTCTATTCCATTCAATGGATTTGACTGCCTCATGGTATGAGGTTGGTTCCTCATGCTTCAGTACACTTAAAGCATATATCCTATCCTCTTCATTCAAACATTCAAAATTTAGAGAGATAGGATGCTTACTTGCACTTGCTGCTGTCCCAAATGCACCAAATGTCAGTTGGGGGTCTAGTTCACAGTCATTCAACTTGGCTGGCAACACTGGTTGCCTTTGAGATCTTCTTGGTGGAGGGGGAACAAAATCATCTTGTGGCAGTAGTTCACACTCCTGATCAGTGACCTCAGGAACTGATTCAGGAATGTCATTTGCAGGAGTTCTAGCATCTTCATCTTCATTTGGACTACTGGAATCACCATCCCCCCTTGCAGCTGAGGCTTGATCATAGGAAACAGGTGCTGAAGGTGTAGGAAGTGATGATGCAGGAACCATGAGAGGAGGAGCTGATGTTAAGGTCTGAGGAATTGGACCAGTAGATGATGTAGAGGGAAAATCTGATGTATCTGAACAATCTCTAAATGGCAGAATTGTTTCATAGAAGATAACATCTCGAGACAAGAAAACCCTTTTATCATCTAAGTCAAGCAACTTGTATCCTTTAACTCCTGCAGGGATACCTAAGAAAACACACTGTCTTGCCCTTGGTGAAAATTTGGTCCTGTTATGCCCAAGTGTACTGGCATAACACAGGCTTCCAAACACTTTAAGGTTGCCAAGAAATGGCTGATGATTATAAAGAACTTCAAATGGTGATTTGCCATTCAGAATTGGGGTTGGCATTCTGTTAATCAAGTATACTGCATGAAGAATGCAGTCATTCCAAAAGGTTAAGGGTAATCCAGATTGGAACCTAAGTGACCTAGCCACATTTAGAATGTGCTGGTGCTTTCTTTCAACCCTGGCATTTTGTTCTGGGGTTTCCACACAAGACATCTGATGCTCTATCCCTTTCTCCATAAAGAATTCATTCATGTGGAATTCCTTCCCTTGATCACTTCTAATCACTTTGACAGTAGTATTAAATTGATTATGAACCAGGGCACAGAAACCTTTCAGCAGTTCTCTGGTTTCATGTTTATGTTTCATTAAATAAACCAATACTGCCCTTGTATGATCATCCACAACAGTAAGAAAATAAGAGTGGCCATCATAAGATTGAACAGACAAGGGTCCCCATATATCAACATGAACCAAGTCAAAAGAACTCTTTGCGATACTGGTACTGTTTGGGAAAGGGAGTCTTTTGTGTTTTGAGAAATGACATACATCACAGTGTAGAATCTTAGTACTAGTTACAGTGGAATTGGATTTCTGTAACATGGAAATTCTATCACTACTGGCATGTCCTAATCTCCAATGCCAAATATCAAAATGCAAAGGATTGAAATTGAAAGTGGTGGCTGCTTGGTGGTGGTCAGGCTTCTGGTCTTGGGTTGGTGGAAAGGTGAGATGGTAAAGTCCTCTATGCTCTCTTGCTAAACCAATCATCTTCAAGCTTAATTGGTCCTGGATATGACACAGATTAGAGAGAAAATGTAAGACTAGTGGGCAATCATTGGTAAGCTTGCTAACTGAGACAAGGTTGAAAGAAAAGCTAGGGACATGTAGAACATTGTGAAGAATCAAGCCTGTAGGTAGTTTAACTGTGCCAATATGAGTAACTTGAACCCTAGTAGTGTTAGGTAGATTCACATAGATATCTTGTACTGGTTTATGCTCTATGAATGAGGTTAATGAACAAGAAATGTGATCTGAGGCACCTGTATCTAGAATCCAGAGGTTTGTGGAATTGGTTTGGTTAAACTGACTTGAGGTAGACAGGCTATATTTACCTGAGTAATTAGGGTATGGTGGAGGAATTTGAGTGACTGAGTAGGCATGGTGAGGCAAAGATGGTGAGGTTGTAGGTGAAGAAGGGTTACCAGTACCAGAATGCATCATGTTCCTTAACTTGTTCATCTCTTCTGGGGTAAAACCAACCACTGCTTTAGAAGCACTTACTGGGCTACCTCCTGGTGTATCAGTTGAGCTGGAGTAGCCAACTTCAGTAGTTGAATCACTAGACCCTGTTTGTGATACTGATCCTGCAAAGCTGGTAGCACTGCCCTGAGATCCTCCTCCATTCTGTGATTCTCTCTTCTTCTTAGCTCTCCAACACTGCTCAACATTATGATTTGTTCTTTTGCAAAAGATGCAAAACTTCTTCCCTTGCCCCCTTGGTCTCTCATCTTGTTCAGTCTCAACAGCCAGTGCCACACTTTGGCCTTTCCTTCCACCATGAGTTTCTGCTTTCAGCTTTTACTCGTACTGGAGTAGGTCATCCACTGCTTCAGACACAGTGGGTAATGGTTTGCGAGACAGCAACTGGCTCTTGACAATTTCATAGTCTGGATGCAAACCCCTGAGAAATCTGATTAGATAATCAGTTTCTTGCCTTCTGTGTAGGCTACAACAGCATCACATGGATTCACATTCCCAGGTGCACAATTACATGGAACTATGGGACTGAACTGTGCAAGCTCTTCCCAAATTCCCTTAATCTCATTGTGATACTAGTTGATAGTGCGGTTTCCTTGCTTGCACTTGTGGATATCATCCTCCAGGTTTGTGATTCGTATGGCATTAGGTTTACCATACCTTCTCTTCAACTCATCCCAGAGGACCTTAGCACTAACATGATTCATCACAGAACGTAGAAGATCTTTGTGCAAGGAATTCAAGATCCATGACAACACACCTGTGTTACACCCATCCCATAGCAGAAATGTGTCATCATTCACTGGAGGCATTGGAATGCTTCCATCGATAAAGCCCATTTTATGTTTCATCTTCAAACCCATTATGACAGATCTACTCCACATAATGTAATTCGTCCCATCAAACACTTCTGAACCTATAGACTGATTCAGTGCTTCATTAGGGTTCAAGTAGTAAGGGTTACCAAAAGTTATCACCTCAGGTCTGATAGTGTTTTGTTGATGCTGCTCTTGTTGCTGTGTCTCAGTGTAAGTGCCAAACTGGAAACCTCGAACACCAGACATGGTTGCTCCTGAGGTTGCTGATGCAGTTGCAGCTTCCTTCCCATGGCTCGACTGTGGTGGTGTGTTCGCCATTGTAACCCTAGATGCGTCGCCGCTCTGATACCATATGGAAAAAATTTGCTAGGGTAAAAGCAAAACCCTCAAAGCCGCAGGGCTGCTCTGTTTGCAGTATATATATGAGCTGCATAAGCAGCTTAGTTCCAGATTGCCACTTGACAACCAATGATTAGCCTATTACAAACCAAAGTACTGTTTAGTAACGGCTATTAACGGCTAACAAGCCTTTAAGTAAAACGACAGAGTTTCATTGTTAATGAACATAAAACAAAAGGAAAACGACTCCGTTCTGCAACTTCGATCTTCAGCCTCCTCTTCAGTCTGCAATCCTTCTTGCATCAGGACTAAGGAAGTTGACAGGCGGCTCCCCCGCCGTCCCGTTCGCTCCGCTGCCTTCGTCCCCGCCGGTCACCTCCTTGTCGTGATCCCGTCGCGCGGTGCTCCCATCGGTTGAGGTTGGGGATGCCCGACGTTGATCGCTGGCCTGCCCCTGCCGATCGCCACCGCTGCCCTTTGCCCGGGACTGTCACCGCCACTATGCCACCACCCTCGCGGAGGGACGCGATGGCCTGGATCAGGGCAGCAAAGTCGTTCTCCGTGATCGTGGTCTGGCGCCTCAAGTTCGCTTGCCCTTGCTCTGTGGTGGCCGCCGCCTTTTGGCCTTGGTCCAATAGCATGTCTAGTTTAGCCATTAGAGTTTCATGTCCTTCAACCAATTTCCCGATTTTGGTGTACACCACCTGAACATCGAGCTCATCTTGCATGGTGGATTGATCCGACGTCGTTTGCAATCCTTTTGTCTTGCTCATTTTTTTGGTTTCTACAGTCATAAACATCACCCTAACCAGACTCTGAATCTCTGATACCAACTGATGAGTGCCTGGATAAGGTTTGGTTCAGTTGAATAAGGGAATAGAAAGTGGGTAGGATTTGGACGATGGTGGACGTGTGTGATGGGTGAAATTGGATGGGTTGGTGATTTGGGAAGGAAGCAGGAGGGAATTGGGAAGTTTGGTCGTGAGAGGGGAAAGAAGTGGCCGATCGGCCAAGGGAGGACTAGAGAGAGAGATTGGAGAGTGATTAAAGTTTGTTTATTTCTTTTAATCTATCTATCTATATCTATCTATCTATTTATTATGGCAATTCAAATATGGCAATTCAAAAACAATTTCTTGCCACATAAGCACTTGGAGGATCTACAATTTGCCAAGTTGGACAACTATTTTACAAACAAAAAAATTAGTTATTAATGTATTTATGGAGCTACCTCTCTCTTCTTTAATATTTTCATTTCTTTTAACCTGTTTTTTGCTTTAAAAATAGGTTACATGTTGATAAACTTAACAAAACACACATAAATAATAATTTTTTTGTTCAGTAAAAAAAATATAAATAAGAAAACAGAAAGTAACATATACCACATTTGTTTAAATAAAAAATATCTGATTAAACCTTATGAAGTAAATTTTTTACTCATTTTTACTAAAATTGAATGATAAGTTATATTTTTATGGAAATTAGACAAACATACACATAAACAATAACTTTTTTTCGATTAAAAAAAATTATATGAAAAGAGAGAAAAATAAATATTTGACATTCAATTACCTATGAAAAATAAACTATATTACTTTATATTTTGTTGCAATGAAACACTCTCTTATTCGTAAATTATATGTCTATAAAATAAAATAAGTATTATTTAGCAAAATGTCAGAGTATAATCTTGATCGAGTAGTTATAGTTATGTATTTAAAAAAGACTTCTTATTCCTCACATCATGTTCTACCTTAAACTCCTCAAATGAAGAGAAATCGCATGTGCAATAATTTTATAATGTGTCCTAAGTTCACATTAATAATATTTGTTCTATATCATGTTGATTGAGCAAGCTCTATTGAGGTCCTAAGTCGTATGCTAAGAAAATTTTCTTTCAGACTTGGACTTATCGTCAACCATTATAAATAAAAATTTTCAAAATGACTTAAGTATGATTGTTGACGAACTTTGACTTCATACCCTAGGATGAGACACAAGATTCCTTGAAAAAACATAAGGGATGATAGAGAATCTTTGTTGAGAATCTACGATAAACATCGCATTTCATCAACTACTAACCTAGACATTTAGCAAATAAAGGTTGTCAATTTTTAGTAAAATAGTCAATTGGGATAAACATATTTATCCAACAATCAAGTATCTTTATCCAGGAATCTCAATTCTCAAAATTGGTTGCCAGTTCATCCAAACTCGAGAAACACGAATTGATATATGTTGTATAGATAATAAGTTAATGTAAATAATCAAATGAAATCCACCGATATTGTTCAAATGATAAGACATTTTAAATGCACTTGAAAAATGTGTGTATTGTAGACACTCTTTATCAAATATTAATATATAAGTGATAAAATCTTTGAAAATTACACATTCAACGACCATGTTAAGACCAAAATCCTCGATAATGTGTGCGAGTGTCTTAGATTGAGATTCTAAGCCAACATATAAACAATGACCACGGGTTGAACTTCAAAAATTAACAATTGATACATATTCTATAATATACTAAATTTAAGTGTCTTGATAAAAAAACTAACATCCAAAATGGAAATGAGTCGAGATTATAGAATTTAATCGTCACGAGGGCTACGGTGTGTGTCAAGTTTCAATATGGATGAATAAATTAATCCAATAATGAAGTATCTTTACTAAGAATGTCTCACTAAAAAGTCCTAATCTTTACAACATTGGTCAAGAGTCCTTCCAAACTTAAGGATCATGAATGTGCATTGGATTTCCAAAGGACCTAAAATCTCAACCTCTTTCGGGGGCTAAATACCTCTGATCACAACCATAGGTATCAAAGAAGAATGAAAAGAAGCAAAAAAAAAAAAAAAAGAACATAACCTCTGATACGATGAACAAAATAAAAACATATCGAGCTATGATCCTTACATCCCTACCCTATTATTCTCCATAAAGGGGAACGACGGGAGAGGATAAGAAATAAATAGCATCATCTTAGAATTTCCCTCTTTATATATTACATATCAAACGATAGACAACCTCAATGGTTGTCTGACGTTATGGGGTAAAAGCGGGATCTCTATCCGAGGGTGGGGGATAGGTGAGTAGCCCTTTTAATATGAGTATTAGGCGAGATAAGATAGGTCTGACAAACTATCTGGATAATTTTGAGTCTACTATATACACACACACATATATATAAAATATCAAAGTATACTATCTTTGCATTTTACTCAAGATACGATAGAAGATATTTATGACAAAGTATATATATAATATCAAGGTATACTATCTTTGCATTTTACTCAAGATACGATAGAAGATAGGTATGACAAAATATTTGCATAAATTAGAGGTTAGAGAATTAGGGATTAGAGTTCACCTATTAGAGGTTAGGGTATAATATCATGCCCCAAAAAACTCCGAAGTCTAAATAGTAAAACTCAATGGTCTTATGGTAGTGTGTGTGTGTGGTTCAGGTTGGCGTACGCTAAATATTAGTGTTTTGGTTGACAAATTTTGACATAAGTTATAAATGGGACGTGACAGCGACATAATTATGATTAGAAAACCGAAGCATCAGAAGTGAGTGTGCTAAATATTGGAAATTTTCAATATAGACATACTACAAACTCTTTTATGAATCAAGAACACAAAATATTTGGAAGATCCAAAATGATTTAAACATATAAATAAGTTAATTAATATAAATTATAAAATAAATATCTTCGACCAACGGGCCGGGTAAAAAGCTAGTAATTCTCAATGACAATACTAAGTAAACTTATAGTCTCCTTATACTAACAACTACCACAATAGCCCCAAATCTCCCCAAATATTCTCAATAATTCCAAATCCACGAAAATCTCAATGAATATCCTCAAATAACAATAATAAATATGACGTAATTAAAGTAATAAACTGCTGACACGTTACTAATCCGTGCCTTCATCAAAATTGCACACTGATTTGTTTGTAATTCGGAACATAAAAATATTTATATCGGTAACCATGGTCTGCTCTTGTTAGCTTCCATCGAATAACTGGTCTAAAGATCAATATGAATAAAAGTAGGATGTATCGAGTCAGTGAAGTTATATGTGTACATATAGCCTGACTAGTAAGGGTGTGAATAAAATTTTTTGTCGACAATCTATCTTGGCCTACCGTTGTGTGCTCCTCCCTCATCAGCAACAATTGGGAATGCAACCATCAACAAGCTTCATAAGAAATGAAAAGCGAGATTGATGTCTCTTGGTGGAAGGATCATTTTGAGTAATGTGTGTTTAGCAACACAATCTCTTTACCTTGGCTCTCTTTTTCCAAGCTCCCAAAGCTATAATCTGAAGTAAAGAAATGGTTCAATGCAATTTTATCTGGTCGGGCACTCAGAACAACGAAAACTGCACCTAATGTCAATGGATTCAAGCAAAGACTCTAAAGAGCTAAGGGGGATGAGAGTACATTATTTGAAATGTGAGTCCTGGTGGCGCGAGCTTTTAGAAATCAAACCTGTAAGCACAAGCTCGGATTGGATGGCTGGCAAATTCCAGGGTGTTGCAGGTTGTAGCAAAATTAAAGCATATCGTCTGGAATTAGAGGTGGCAATTTCAATCCAATCCACCAATCCAATCCATCAATCCATTAAAAATATCCACCTAATCCAATCCATTTAAATCCAATCCATTTTATCCAAATCCAATTGGATTGGTGGATTCATGGATTGGATCCATGGATCATTGGCAAATTACGGTTTAGTACCTATAATTTTTATTTTTTACATTTTGGTACCTAAAATTAAAATTTTTATACGAAAAATATCATTGGAAAATTACGTTTTGGTACCTAAAATTTTTCATTATGACATTTTAGTACCTAAACTTTTTACATTTTACATATTGGTCCTTGGTTGAGGATGTCATTTGGATTCATGGATAATCCACCAATCCACTTGATCCAATCCATGAATCCACCAATCCATTAGATCCAATCCATTTAATCCATGGATCCACCAATCCAATCCACCAATCCATCAATCCAATCCATTTGCCACCTCTATCTGGAATTTTGCTCATATAGAAGTGAGTGAGTCGTGATATTCCTTTTGGTATGATAGGTGGATCAACAATTTAACACTTGTAAAGTCTTTTTAGAAGGTGGTAGCTTATGCTATTTTTTCTAAAAACCGAGTATCGAAGAACTACTGAATCACCAATAAGAGAGAATTCTGGAAAATTCCTCTAATGACTTCTTGGGGGGGGGGAGCTAAGCTGAGAGTGAGTGAGTGAGTTTGTTTAATTTGTTTTATAATGCAATTCAGCTTCTTTGATTTTTTTCAGGGCTAAGGAGATTAGCTTGGCAGCCTTCATATATCACAGGTTTCATAGTGAAGTTCTTGTACAAGGAACTCTTGCTGGAAAGATATCCAAGAGGAGAAGACTTCCCTCATAGCCCATAGCTTGTTGTACCAATGGACAATCTCATTCAAGATATGTGTCTTTTTCTGGGTGGTGTTTCAGATGAAAATTCTCACACATGATTCGCTTAAGAGAGTGGGTGATAGATTCCAAGTATATGTGTTATGTGTATGAGTAGCGAGGAGGATCTTGATCATATCTTCCTCACTTGTTGATTTATAAAGATGTATATAATATAATTTGTAGATTTGTGACGATTGATAATAGCTCCAGGGGGATATTATAGCAACAATCAAGTGATGATCGAAACAAGAACTAGTAGACCTTGCTCAGTGGTGCACCAAGGTGTTGTTGCACGCATTATGTTGGAGTTTGTGGAAGGAGCGGAACTCTAGGATGTTTGAAGATAGAGCTTTCCACACCACATGTATGCTCCATAATTGGTTGACTTGATTGCAAGTTGGCTTGTATATGTAAAGAAGGTGGACCCAGTCAATTCGAATTGTCTACTTCCACCCTTAACAATTGTAAATTTGTAATTTTCTCAAAATGAGTCAATGTGAAATTACCCGTATAAAATCACTTCGTCTAAATTCTAAATTTTATGCTACCAAATGAATCGATTTAACCAAATTATCTCAAAACAAAACAATTGAGAATCAAATTGATCCGTTAGAATTCCTATCTAAAATTCCAAACAACCCCAAACTAGTACTTGTACTTTGCAAACACAAGGGGGTTCTATTTGCCTAGCTCGCTCGCAGCTAGGGATGGCAACCAAACCCGAACCCACGGGTACCCACCCGACCCAACCCGGTCAACGCGGGTAAAATCCGTGTTGACGGGTTTTGGGTCGGGTTTGGGTTTAAACCCGTTCACTATTCACCGGGTTGGGTTGGGTTTGGGTTTAGGTAAACCCAACCCGTGGGTACCCACCCACACATATAATTAATTTTCTCGGTATATTTAATATTTTAAACAACTAATCTTATTTATGTTTGTGGAGACATGTCTAATTTTTTCTTTCTAATTGTGTAGAATGAAGTTTGTGTTATCGAGTGGAGAATGAAGAAACTTAATTGAAAGGAAGAAGCCTTCAATTAATATGTTATTTATGGATAATTTATGATTTACTTCAATTTTCTTGAGTTTTCTAGATTGGTGTTGAACAATTTGTATAGTTAATTTGTGATTTGTTTGAATTTTCTAGAATGGTGTTTTAAATATGGATAATTTGTATTGAGAGATTGATATTTGACTTTAATTTTGATAGGAACATGTTATTGTAAAATTTTTACGACAAAAACCCGTGGGTACCCATGAACCCGCGGATACCCAGCGGGTTGGGTTGGGTTTGAGTTTTTCAAACCCAGTGGGTTTTACCCCGGGTTTTTTTCACGGATAAATCCATGGGTTTGGGTTTGGGTTTGGCAAAACCCGACCCAACCCGACCCATTGCCATCCCTACTCGCAGCCTCTTGTTCAGTATCACATGTCAAATTTTGCACAGTGTTGATGTGCATCTCCCCTTCAACTTCGTTCATTCAAACTCTTCCTCCCACTTCGTAACACACACCGCACCCAGATATTTTCCCACCGTTTCCTCCAATTCAATCAACTGACCATCAAAAGCAACCAGCCACCCAAAATTATACAGTCACTGCTCTTGCTCTTCTTCCCTTTCTGTAAAATCTATGGGCTCTTCCTTCCCTGACTGAATTGAATTGAGTTGAAATAATCTGTGGGTCTGTTCGTGTTCTTGGCTGGTAGTAGTGGTTGGAGATTATCTTGTGAAAAAGCTTCAGCTTTGAGCTGTTTACGCACCAGCGAAATCAACCTGCCACATGGGATTGGCGCTAATCACCGACGAAGGCAGGATTACGAGGAGGACTTCGAACTCGGGAGCTCTTGATGGAACCACCGCAACTGGGTCTGATCGAGCAGTCTTTCAATAGCAGGTACTCCAACTGGGCACGCGAGGCGCTCGACGAATTGCCTGACAACTTCACTATCACCGATCCTTGCATTTCGGGCCACCCAATCGTGTTCGCCAGCCGGGGCTTCCTCAAGATGTCCGGATACTCGCGTGACCAAGTGATTGGGAGGAACGGCAGGATGTTCCAAGGTCCCAACACTTGCAGAAGATCGGTCATGGAGATTCGAGAGGCGATTCGGGAGGAGCGCGGGGTGGAGATCAGTTTGTTGAATTATCGGAAAGACGGGACGCCGTTCTGGATGTTGTTTCGGATGACGCCGGTCTTTGGTAAGGATGAGGGCCGGGTGATTCATTTCGTCGCCGTTCAAGTTCCCATCCTGCGCCGGAGGCAGAGGAGGAGAAATGGGGAGGGTTTGTGCGACGAGATTTTGTCTAATTCCTGCAGAAGGGAAGTCTGCTCCAGTTCTTCGGTGGAATTGGCTGGAGTTTCGGCGGCGGATTCCGATTGTAGAGGTTGGTCTATCAAAATTGCAACTTTTTCTCACCGTCTTCAACTTCGTGGTATTAGTTTTCTTCATAGTTTCTGGTTGGAGAGTACCAAAGGAGACCGATGCTTGAGTTCTGTGCATTGTCTTACGGGAGAGTTGAATACTTCTTTTGGTAATTTCTTATTAGTGCAAGCTATGGAAGGCTCAGGTTGGCAACATGTTGATAATTACGTGTTTCCATAAAATTGCAAGCCACTGGATGGGTTTCAGCTAATTTCATTTCTACAATTTGCGTTAGTCCTTTTACCTGTATGTTCCTTAGTCTTAGCTTTTACTGCTGCGAATGGCCGTTACCAGCAGAGCTTGTCTGGAAGATTTCCTTGAGCTCTCCATTCTTTTTTTGTGCCTCTTCCAGTTGATCACATTTTTGTTCTGTTTCCGTTAAAGACATTAGTTTCACGATGTGTAATTTCTTTCTAATTACAGCACTAGAGATTGAAGAAAAATGCGAGGCCAGTGACACAGAGAAGCAATTAGCTGCAACTGCTATTAGCAACGTGTTGTCTGTGCTAACCCACTATAGCGAATCGACAGGAAGATTGGTCTGTGAAAAGAGATTTGGCCCCAGCCTCGTCAGTTCATCTTTACATATCTCTCTTGGTAGAATCAAACAAAGCTTTGTATTGTGAGTTTGTTTTTATTTTTTTGCTTATCATGCAATTTCCGAGTGTTCTAGCTTTCTGAGACAGTACTGTCTTCAAGAGTTAATCTCTTTTTGGATGTCTTTGCTTTCAGGGTGGATCCACACTTACCGGATATCCCTATTGTTTATGCTAGTGATGCCTTCTTAAGAATGGCAGGTGCTTTAGGTTTCACATGGCTTTACTTGCTGTAGAGTGCAGGCTGCTGTTCTCTTTCGGGTCTTTTTATCCTTTTTCTCGGTTTTGTAGGGTATGCTCGTAATGAAGTTTTAGGGCAAAACTATAGGTTCTTAACTGGTGTTGATACAGATCACTCAGCTCTACATCAGGTGTCTCAGTGTCGGTTCTCTTATTTTATTGGGTACAGGCTTCCATTGTTATTTTCCTATACTTGTAATGGAGCCTCTAGTTGACTGAAAACTTACTGTTGTTTCAGATAAAACAAAGTATTCAAGCTCAACAAGCATGCTCAGTACGTATTTTACATTACAGGTTGATGCTCAACTATTCTCTAGTTGATAGCTTAACAGCCGATAGTATGTTCTCTGTCCCTCTCACCATGATTAGCTATATTTCTTCTCTGATAATAGGAAGGATAAGAGCTCCTTTTGGAATCTTCTTCACATTTCACCAGTTCGTAATGCTACTGGCAAGGTACTTTGAAACTGCACTTCTCCACCCCCTTCAACTTTCTGTGTTCTGCGGTTGTGATATTACGTTAAACCCAGGCTGGCTTGCTATTTGTATATTTTATATACACTGATCTTGAGTGATGGAAAAACTGAAAAGAGAGGACTTGCAAATGTATAGAATGAAACAGATAAATGCCAGTTGAGGTTGAAGTAGTAAATCATTTGTTTTCTTGACATCCATTAATCACTTAAAACTGATTGGCCGTGTTGTGGCCTCTTGTTAGGGCCACTTTTGTGTTTCGGATTTGCACGACTTAGTCGGTCTTGCTTCTTAATCTTCATCCCTATGGTTGTTCGTTCAGATAGCATACTTTGTGGGTGTCCAGATTGAAGAAGGCAGTGTGGACCGACATGGATTGAGCCCTGAGATGAGGCAGCTGAGCGTCGTTGGATCAATCAAGGTGGCAGTGAGGAGTTCATCAATGTCCTCTTCCTCCAAATCATCATAGCATTCATTGATTCCATACACCATCAGAGACAGTGAAATAGAGCATCCTCTTGATGTAGCAGAACATTTTATCATTAAAAGTTAAGCCTATTTCTGTACTCTGACGCTTTGAACAAGACATTTCAAGTCTTTTCGGTGAAAAATGGGCTTGCCTTCGTTATGCTCGGTGAGCAAGACTAGGCAATTGTGAGCACTGAAGAGCAAAATTAATAGTGCTAAAGTTGCATTCGCTGAGTACACATTCGTTGCGGTGAACCCAAGTATGGTCGTGACTCGTGATGGGATCAGTGGGCTTGCACATGTTGTCAAAATTTATTCTGAAAATGAAGAAACTTAGTGTTGCAGCTGATAGATGAAAAAAACTCAAATTGAGCATATTTGGAGATGCGGGGTATCGATTCCCGTACCTCTCGCATGCTAAGCGAGCGCTCTACCATCTGAGCTACATTCCCACTTTAATGAAAAGAATTATAGTATATCATATTTATAGTTCTAGTTGAAAATCGAGAAATTCACGCTATAAAAATTGGTAGCAAAAGCTAACTACTCGATATTTCTAAAGGGCATCCCAACCCATATTCGATCTGATGAGTGTTAGGCTACGACATTGCTAGGACTTAGGAGAAGCTCTTGGTTTTGTTTTGTTTTGTTGTCGTCTCTTCTTTACATGAAAAACTCCAGTGTATGTTTTTTTTTTTTCAAAGCAAGCCCAAAGGGGTACTACAGACTAAAACAAGATTGGATGCAACCAAATACGCTAGTACGCATGAAACCGAACTATCAGCGAAAGAGCCTATTTTGTCACTATATAACCAACTCTATTGATAATGGTTTCATTGGGTACACATTCTTTTTCAATGAACCAGAGAATAGTCATGCTCGGATGATTGGGTTGCAGTACTCAAGAAATGTTTTGTTTGGCTCAAGGTTAGGTGAAAAATTTTCTTTTCAATTCTGTAAATTTGACCTAATGTTCTAAATTTTGAGAGGGGTTGAGCACTTGAAATTGGTAGATGAAAAAGATAATTTAATTCGAAATGCATGATATTGCTGTCTCAACATGCAAAGCAAGCATTCTACCATCTGAGCTACATCCTCCATCCTCACTTCAATTCGATCCTGTAAAAAACTTTGGTACGTGGCAAAGCTAGCTAACTACTCCGAACAGTGATGAAAAACAAACCAAAGTTTTCCAGGAAGACAAAACATTGGGGTTTTACATTTTTGAAGCAAAAGAAGAACTATCACTATTCACTACAAATTAAGGCCCAAATACCACCCCAAAAAAAAATCCTATCCATTGCCAGTTGGCACCAGGTTAACTTCCAATAATGAGCCAGCGCCCACGTAAATTTCTTTCTTTTTTCTTCTCCCCCGACTTTCCTCCCTATGGCTCTTAACTTATGTACAATATATCATAAGCCAAAAAAACTCTGTTTTCAGAACCGGACCGGAGGCTGAACTGGAAAAGTTAGTGGTTTAGGGTTCACCGGTTAATTGTACAAAATCGTTGGTGAACCGTTAATGATATATAACATATAAGACTTGTATATTACACTAATTTAAGAATGAAATTATCATTGACCATAAACAAGTTCAAATTCATATCATCATGAAAATATCTAATAAATCATTCCAACAATCTCACAAAAAAAACCATATCTTTTAATTCAAATTAAAAATTACGGTTCTAGTTGGTAGTAGACAATATAAAATTGACAATAAGGTTGAGGAAGCATATGTAAAATTAATAATTATGATTTGATGGTCTTAGTTTATGTTAAAATATTTTTTTGTTAAAATAGTGGACCAGTTAAACCGTGCCGGTCTCTGTTTTCATAACCGGACCGGAAGCTGAACCGGAAAAGTTAGTGGTTCACAATTCAATGGTTAACCGTTATAAAACCGTTGGTGAACCGTTTATAGAACCGTTCACACATATAAAATAGAAAGACACATATAATTGACTAACTCAAAACTTAAATTCCCATCAATCATAAACACTCAAATTCCCCTTAATATATAGTTTTATAAAAGAAAGAGAGATAATGACAAGCATCTCCATATTTGCACCCCACGTGCGAAGCAACAGTACATATGGGCCAGAAAAAAAAAAGCGAGATAGCTTGGAGTAACTACAACTGCACAGGTAATTGATCGGAGTGAAATAATACCTGTTTGTGGAGCAGCCGAGCAGTGTGATGGAAGTAGAATGACTGGACGAGCAGAGGGTTGGCCGGCTGTAGCTAGAGAGGGGGAAAAAGAAGCAAGCGCTAGGGTACAGAAACAATAAGAGAAAGTAGATACGTAAGTATTCTATTAGGATTTAGGGTTGTAACTTGAAAGTTTGTTTTGGGTCGGCGACGATTCAAGTTTCGTATTTTCGTTTTCAAATTTTTTATTCTTGGAATAGCGGACCGTAGGACCACTTAGACCGGCCGGTTCCCCCGGTTCAGTTACAGAACGTCCAAAACCGCACGGCCCAATATTAGCCGTGTGACTACATGAGCCGACCCGCTATCAGTGTCGGTTGGCGGTTCTTCCGGTCCGGTTCACCGGTCCGGCCCGGTTCTTACAACAAGGGTGCCGGTTCATCTGATTTTATGTTGAACCGTGAAAAACCGTTTGGTCCATCAATAACCGTTCAAACAATGAACCGGACCGCTATCGTAAATGGTTTGACGGTTCTACTGGCTTGGCCGTTGATCCGGTTCGGTTCTTATAACAAGGCAAAAAAGGCTTTCTCACCCAAAAATCCTCTAAACTGGCTTTCTTTCTCTTAACCTCATTTACGACCACATTGTTCCTCAACAGTCTATAGCTTCCGGTAGACCAAAGAGAGCGACTGCAGGAGTACCTCCAGAGAGGTATGGTTTCGAGGACATGGTGGCGTATTCATTTCACGTTGCTGAAGAAGTGGATGCCGGTGAGCCACAGTCCTACAGAGAAGCCATTTCGGGTGGCGAAGCTGATCAATGGCATGCCGCAATGGAAGATGAGATGGAATCCCATGACAGGAATCAGACTTGGGAGCCAGTCAAACGACCACAGGGAAAGAAGATTGTTACAAACAAGTGGATCTACAAGAAGAAGGAAGGAATGACTTCTAAAGAGGACATGAAATTTAAAGCTTGGGTGGTTGCACGAGGCTTCTCACAGAGGGAAGGAGTTGACTACAATGAGATTTTCTCACAAATGGTCAGACATACTTCGATCAGAGTGCTACTAGCAATAGTGGCACATTATGACTTGGAGCTCGAGCAGATAGACGTGAAGACAACTTTCCTACATGGAGAGTTGGAGGAAGAAATTTACATGACTCAGCCAGAAGGATTCGAGGTTCCGGGAAAAGAAGACTATGTTTGTAAGCTGAAGAAGTCCTTGTATGGACTTAAGCAGTCTCCGTGGCAGTGGTACAAGAGATTTGACAGTTACATGCTTGAGCTGGGCTACAGCAGAAGTCCATATGACTGTTGTGTGTATCACAACAAGGTGGAGGATGGTTCGATGATCTATCTTGTTCTGTATGTGGATGATATGCTCATAGCTGCGAGGTCGAAGTCTGATATCCAGAAGTTAAAGGGCCTTCTCAGTGCTGAGTTTGAGATGAAGGATTTGGGAGCTGTTAAGAAGATCTTGGGTATGGAGATTTACAGGGACAGGTCGAAGAAGAAGCTTTTCTTGTCACATAAGAGCTACATCCAGAAGATACTGTCGAGGTTTGGCATGTCTTCAGCAAAGCCCTTAAATACTCCTCGTACTTCAAATGTTCATCTATCCTCAACTTATGCACCGCAGTCAGACGCTGAGAAGGAGTACATGTCGAGAGTCCCATATGCTACTGGTATGCATTAGGTAGTGTTGATGTACGCTATGGTATGCATTAGACCTGATCTTGCACATGTTGTTAGTGTTGTCAGCAAGTTTATGATACAACCTGGGAAGGAGCATTGACAGGCTGTGAAGAGGATCTTCCGGTACATTAAGGGTACACCTGATGTGGGGATTAGTTTTGAAAGTGATACAGAGTGCTTGGTGTCTAGGTATTCTGACTCAGACTATGCTGGAGATGTTGACACGAGGAGATCGATGACCGGTTATGTATTCACTCTTGGGAGTTCTGTAGTGAGCTGGAAGGCAACTCTGCAGTCGACGGTGACATTGTCTACTACTGAGGCAGAGTATATGGTGTTGACAGAAGTTTCTAAGGAGGGAATATGGTTGAAGGGACTGGTTGGTGATCTGGGTCTACATCATGATCAGGCAGTGGTGTATTGTGATAGTTTGAGTGCAATATGCTTGGCCAAGGATCAAGTAAGCACATCGACGTGAGGTATCATTTCTTGATGACAGAGAAGAGGATTAAGGTGAAGAAAGTTGGCCCCGTGGATAATCCTGCTGATATGTTCACGAAGCCTGTTCCACATGGCAAGTTCCAACACTGCTTGGACTTGCTGAATGTCTTGAGTGGGTGACTCCGCCCTGCGGGGCATTGATGGCAGGAGAGAGAGAGAAGGAGCAGAGTACATCAGAGATTTCAGAGGAAGAGGATTCAAGTCAAGGTGGAGATTTGTTGATGTGACTTGAATCGGACTATCACCCGCTACGACTGGTAGTTGGGGGTCTTGCTGCCCGGTCAGCGAGTGGGGTCCAGGGGCAATGCCCCCGGCCCGCGGTGTATGGGCTCAATGTTATTTGGGTTTGGGTTCTGGGCTTGGTCTGTAACCGTTTCCTTTGCCAGATTAGATTAGGTTTAGACCCACATGGAGAAGTACTATAAATACTTCGCATACTCCTCTGTAATCTGTAATCTCCTCGCTATAGTGAAACTGGCTCTCTCTCGCCCGTGGACTAGCTAACACACATCGTGGTAGTGAACCACGTAAATCATGTTTCTGTGTTTTTTGATTCTCGCTTTCATATTCTTACTTTATCGATTCCGACGATTTCTCGATCCGTAACAGCGCGTTTATAACACAATTATTTATTCGATCCTGTAAAAAACTTTGGTACGTGGCAAAGCTAGCTAACTACTCCGAACAGTGATGAAAAACAAATTGTCCAGGAAGACAAAAACATTGGGGGTTTACATTTTTAAAGCCAAAGAAGAACTATCACTATTCACTACAAATTAAGGCCCAAATACCCAAAAAAAAAAAAAATCCCTATCCATTGCCCGCTGGCACCAGGTTAACTTCCCATAATCAGCCAGCGCCACGTAAATTTCTTTCTTTTTTCTTCTCCTCCTCCCCGACTTTCCTCCCTATGGCTCTTAACTTATGTACAATATTATCATAAGCCAAAAAAGACTTTCTCGCCCAAAAAACCCTCTAAATTGCCTTTCTTTCTCTTTAACCTCAACCACATTGTTCCTCCTCACTCACTAGAAGCTGCAGTTGTTGACGGCGGCGACGACGATACTGATCTGTACTTGTAGCGACAAGCCCAGAGTAGGTAGTGCAAGAAGTTCAAAACACTAAGCACGCACATAAGCCAGTAGAATCTCTCCAAGTGATAGTGGTCGATGTTCCCTCCCGACAGCCACGGCTTGTGATCCGACAACCTAGTCACGTCGTTCACCACCGACACGATCACCGAGCTGAGGTAGTACCCCATCGCCAGCGAAGCCCACGACAGCGACGTGGCCAGCGACCTCATGCTCGAAGGCGCCTCGGAGAAGAAGAACTCCAACAGCCCCGCCAGCGTGAAGAGATCCGCCGAACCCAAGAACAAGTACTGAAACGCTATCCAGAAGAAAGTGATCGGCAGCGGATGCGGCGGCTCTTTGTCGACGGTGGTGGCGGCGACGACGGCGACGACTCTCTTCCTCTTGATCTCCACGAGTGCGGCGGTGGCCATGGCCACGATGGAGAGGAACAGCCCGACCCCGATTCGCTGGAGGTGGGTGATGCCCGTCTCGGTTTTGGTGAGTCGCCTGGCGAACGGGATGATGAAGTGGTCGTAGATCGGGGCGAGGATCATGATGAAGACGACGGGGAAGATTGGTAAGGAAGCCGGCGGGACTTTTAAGGAGCCGAGCTTGGTGTTCATGGTGGCGGCTTGTTGGACGGAGAAGGTGGAGAGCTGGGCGAGGCAGCAGTTGAGCATGATGGTGCAGGCGAAGATGGGGAGGACTTTGATCACCACCTTCACGTCTTCCACTTGTTGGACCGTGCATTCGAACGGCTTGCTCATCACGGCGGTGTTCAGGCAGCTGAGGCTCTTTGTTAGGGTTTCCGGATTAGGGTTTGGATTGGGATTGGGATGGCTAACTCCATTTTCAGTTGTTGATTCCTTTGTTGTTGTTGTTGATGCTTGTTGTTGTTGTTGTTGTTGTGGTGGTGGTGGTGGAGGAGGGTTGCATGGGCTTGCAGCCAAGTTTACTATTGCATTGCTTGGAGTTTTGTTCACACATCGGTTGATTGATGCCGCAATCAAAACCTGTAACAAGAGATTAGACAAGTTAGCAACTTTAAGAGTAAGGTCTGAAAAGGGTTAGATCGAGATATCTTATCAAACTAAAAAGAGTTTGATACATAATTAAAATACCAGATCAACCTACAATTTTTCTAGAATTATTGCCTTCTCTAGCGACGAGTTCCAATCCTTCGTCGCAACGAAGAACTTGTTCGTCCCAATAGCTAGAATCTTCGAGAGAAGTTTCAGATACATTTTAAGTAAGAGATGACATATATATTTATGGATGATTCTATCGTACACAAGACAAAATCTGATGTATGTCGTACACCAGATAATTTCCACCGTCCACGTACATCTCGACGGCCGGCATAAATGAGGTACGTGGATAATGGAGATTGCTGGTGTACGATACAACCCAATATATATATTTGTTGTATGATAGAAGTGGGGTACGTGTGCTTACTTTGGAAATGGTGGTGAGAGGGGAGCCAGAGGGGATTTTGTTTCTGTAGGTAAAGGAGCCAGAAAGGAAGATTGGGATGGAGAGGAAGATGGCAATGGTGGAGATGCCAAACCCCCATTCCCAACCTTTGTTGTCTTCGACCCAGACGACGAACGTGACGGCGATTAGGGCGCCGGTGGAGAGGCAGAAGACGAAGTAGTTGAAGAAGGTGGATCTCTGCTTCCTTCCCTTGGGCGTGTTGTCGTCGAATTGCTCGGCGCCGTGCGGAGGGAGCGAGCCTTTGATCCCGCCGACTCCGAGGGCTACTAAGTAGAGGCCGATGAAGAGCATGGCAGCTTGCCCTCCGTGAACCGTCTGGCATGAGTTGCTTCCTGGGGTGCATGTTGCTGGTTGTAGTGATGGTGACCTAGCTTGGATTGTAAGGATCACCAAACCCTAAAAAAAAAACACAAAAAGGGAGGGGAAGAAATGTTATGAGCGAAAGGCAGGATGTCACGATTGAATGATAGAGTAGACTTTCTTAATATACCCGAAACGGAGGAAAGTCGAGAGAAATGATACCATCAAACAAGATCATACATGCATGTCACATATTATACATACAAATAAATCGATCATTAGTTTCGTCATCTAAGAGATGGCAAAAAATTTCAAAAGCGAACCTAATTGCATTATATATTTTTATTTATTTATACAAATGACCATTATCATTGTATTTTGAAATTTGTATATAGAATTATTTGTCTTATCATTTAAGTCAACAAATCGTTACTTTTGAGAATCGTATGATAGGATGATTCAGCATCAAATCACATAACCTAATCGTCAGGAACCCGCATATCATATCACGTTTAAAGGCAAGTTCATCATGTTATTTTACAAATAACACAAAATTTTAAAGTTTTCTTTTCGAATATTATAATATGAGTCACCGATAACTATATAGGTTTTTTCTTTATAACAAATGTAGCCATAGATGTTGCATTCAATATTTTTCATAAATACACATATGTATATAAGACAAATACATGGGCTAGCGGATAGACTTATAATTGGTAGAGAATCGCCACCGTTTTTTCTCTCTATATGCATATATATGCCATATGTGATTTCATTCCAAGAAAGTGATAGAATGAGGACAGAGTGTGAAAACAATCACCAACTAGGGAATGAGACACTACATCCACACAATTATTTTTGTAAGTTCTTTTTTTATTTATTTATGGGAATATCTTTTGCATTTTATGTCAGAAAGGAATATATGCAGCCTTATAAATTAGAACTCCATCCTTGTCAACATATAGTAAATTAGTAATGGGGATTTTGTGGAATTAAGGTCATAAGTTGTTGTGACACTAGTTAAGCTATATATATGTTCCCTTCATGTGTCATGTAAGAGACAAAATTTAATGCTGAAAATGACAAGAATATATATATTAGGATGTGTTCTTTTTCATTGTTGTGTTCTATTTTCGTCTTGTCATAGATAAGATGACCAAGTTCAGAGTATGCACATATAAGTGGATATTTATGAAAATTGACCTTTGAGATCCTAATTCATTGGCATAAAATTTATGTTTTCCCAAACCTTATCCAGTGAAATAAGATGTAGAGAGAATAACCAAACGCTTGATTCAGATTGCTCACTTGTGTTAGAGTACTGAATAAAAATCAAGGTTTATTGCGTAAAAAAATGAACGAACTTATATTTTGTACTAAGAAAAAGAAAATTATTACTCAGAATTAAACTAACGTTAATAAAATTCATAAGTATATCCCAAATATTGAAAGCTTGATTAATTGAAGTGGTTGACTCCTTCATCAAAATGTGGTTGACTCTCTGTTGGAAAGCTACGTATGTTATTGGACACGTATGAGAAGATATCTTCTTTCATTCACAGTGCATACATACTAGATAAGTCATAAATATGTCTTATTATTAACCAATATTCTAATCATAAAAAAAAATCAATTTTCACATCCAAACCCATCCTATACCACTAATTATATATTGGCATGTTGTTCCCTCTGCGTAATCATTATGATAATGGTTCTTTTTTAAATATATATGTGACGATCATCATATTAAACAACATTGTCACATAAATTTAATGATTGATCTTATATTTAGTCGATTAAGAAGGAAGAAGAAGGTTCATAGTCAAAACTGCAAAAGACTGACAAACGAGAAAACCCCAGAAACCCAAAACTGTGGATTCTATGCCTAACCTAACCAATCATGGGACTGCCTCTGCCTTGAAACTCGTGCAATGCAACGTGCGCCGATTCGATTGGCAAATAGCAATAGCCTCCCTTCCCTTCTGTCGGTCAGGTTTATTATTATTATTATTATTAATTATTAATTACTTTCTCTGAACAACACGCAACTCTATGGGAGGATGATGATAATCGGATAATAATAACCCCTCAATTTTTTTCCTCATTGCTCCAGCAGTACCCAACTCTAGACGGTTTTTTACGAACAAGTCCAAAGTTAACGGGATTTCGGATAGTATGTCAATGCTTCTGCATGCGTCACACTCCCAAATTACATTTTTACCCAACCGAGCCGTTAATTATGGGGCAGCCACCACCACCTATGTTCATTTCAATCCCCCCAGAATTCAATTTGTTCTTATTTATGTGAAATTAAATGATGAATCATAACTTATGTTGCAGCCCGGCGTGGCACATTTGCCACCCCTATCTACCCATTATACTACGTATCATCCTATCATATCGTTTAATAGCGTATATCACACTATGAGCGGTTACTATTATTTAGCTTTTTACCACCAGCTTTTTACCATCGAAAATCTTACCAATTCAACGTCGAGGAGTAAGATTTCACAAAGCCTTGCACGTGAATAAAGTAACTAACGGTGAGGAGGGAGTGAGAGATTTGTGATTAACAAAGGGTGAGGATGGAGAGAGAGATTTGTGTCATAAACCAGTTGGTCTCAATAACTCGAGTTGTTGGGAGAGGTTCAATTGTGGATCATATACGGAGCTAGCTATTGTAGGGTAATTAAGAAGGGTGGTAGTAGATAGATACCAGGAATTCAACGGCGGCACTTAGGAGGTAGATCTGATAGGCGGTGAGGAAAGCGTCGGAAAGGAAGCCGCCGAGGAGGGCCAAAAGGAAAGACGTGCCCATGAAGTTGGTGACATTATTTGCCGATTTGGAGGGCGAAAAGTGCATGTACTCTGACATGTACATCACCAAGTTGCTCGCGTTCGCCAGGTACGCCAGGTTCTCCAGCACCTCCACAACTGCAATCCTCCCATCACCAATATCAAAATTAAAACACAATAGAAAGAAACAACACAAATTCCCCTGTTTCTCCAATCCACATATCATACATACCCAGAACAAAGGAAGCAGCCAGCATGCCGCCATGGCGGCCTCGAATCGCAGGCCTGTTCCTCCAATCCACATACCCTTCCCATCTCCCCGCCACTTCCAATTCTTCCTCCTGCAACAAACCCACATCCACATCAGTGCAAAACAGAGACAGGGGAAAACAGAGACATGGCAGAAATTGAAGAGATCATCCATCATCGACTGGAAAGAAAGAAAGAAAGAAAGGGAGATTTCAACGGGTACCATTTGTTGTTGTAATGGTAAAGCGGCTTGGGCTAGGTGTGGTGTTAGCTTAAGAGTGAAGGCGAGAATTATATGTGAACTCCAGTTGATCAAAAAGAAGAAATAAAGTGAGGAGGAAGAAGTTCAAAAGGGGAGAGGAAAAGATGAAGGAGAGAGTGGGAAAGGGGAACCCACCATTAATTTGGATCTTTTGCTTTCGTTCTCCGCCCTCCTCTTCTTCCTTTTTCCTCTTCCAAGTTGGCTACTTGAGAGAGAGAGAGAGAGAGAGAGAGAGAGAGAGAGAGGGGAAATTGGATCTTTGGGGTTGGAAAAGAAAGAGTGATGGGTAGTGGAGGATTTATAGGTGAGGGCATCTAAGGAGAGTGATAGAGAAATGACTTGCACATATTAAAAAAGCTACTATGATTTGTTAGTAATCTTAAAGAAGGAAGCACATCTTAACAAAAAAGTGAGGGTCCAAGTTGGGACAAAATTGTCTATACACTTGCATTACTCAATTCATGTGTTTCAGTCTTAATGCTCCCACTCTGGACTGGAAAAAATTGCAAATTTTAGTTTTTTTTTTTGTTTGTTTGAGAGAATCCGGAAATTTGTTTGAGCGCAAATTTAGTGTGGAACATCGCGAATGTTTCAGATTTATCCCCCACTTTGATATTATCGGGTTGCCGTCTGTGTAGGTTATATTAATTCAACGACAATTGAAATTTCATCTCTTTACTAATAGATAAAAATAAGATCGCATTCCTTATCTACTAATTTGTAACCGCAAATCGAGCGCAAATACTTCCATTGCAATCGGACAGGTGTAGAATCAACTCCTTAGGGCTTGGAGCCTCAAAGAATGATTAAGAGTGAGATAAAAATAGCCAAAGGAGGAAAAGATAAGTTCATGAACAACTGCTTTCATATGCTAAATCTATGGTTTACGAAACTGTAACGAAAGTCGTCTTGAACTCATTTGTGATAGGGTATTTAGTAGCATGGTTGTATGTTCAACTATTTCATATTGATAAGGTATAATTTTTTTATAAAAAAATTTGTGAAAAAATCGTACCGTCCAAAATATTATATCGGAATATAGCATATAGCAAGTTGTATAATATTATATAGTCATAGGCAACGCACCAGTCAACCAACCTTGTTGTCAACCGATATTTGATGCCAAAACATGGAAACCATAAAATGATCAATTACTGCCAAGATCAACCGAAATTTAAAACATTGCTATAAGAAGAAACACCAACATGGCTTCCATAGAGAGTGAGCTGAGCTAAACCACTTGGTTGTCTGATGATATGAATCCTAACTATGTTTCATGGTATTAATTGAATGCAATATCTATGGTTGTTTTAGAGTGTTTTATCAATGAGACAAATTTTATTTGATGCTATAGAGATAATAAAATTTATACTTATATCATGAAACAGGTTTAACACCCAACTTCTGACTATGATCTTTTTGTTTTACAGATTGACTTTCGACTCAATTATAAAAACATTGACCCAAATTTTACATATATTAAAGCTAAAAAATGTTTATTCATTAATAAATAAAAATAAATTTCGTTTAAATTTTCTCATAACATGTTTGATTAACAATTGCAAATATTAGTTATAAAAAACAATTGCAAATATTTCCACAAAATCATAAATGGTAAAATAAAATGAAAATCTGAAATTCAATTATCATCCGAACACTTATTTAATTTTTATATCATGTTAATACAAATTAAAATATATAAGAAATCAAAAGGTAGCCATCTTTGATATTCTATCACACCAACAATGTAACATTTTGTTTGTAAATATGTGTAATAATACAGTCATATAGTGATATACTATTTTTTTTTAGCTTACTACATTAGTTGTTGATACTATTACGAAGTGAAAATGCTAACACTAAAATACATTATCAAAATCACGTATGTCACTTTGTTACATAATAAAATTACTAAAATATATATAATTCAATCATGTTCCTCCATGATACACGATAATTCCATTTATGTAAGAATAATATTAATGATTTTGAAATTTTTAATATGTGGTTTACCAAGTTACTTTGATATGAATGAAAGTGCAATTGATAAAAGAAAATCACAATAAACCGAGTTATATATGTATAAAAAATAAATTTGACATGCTTCACTTATTAAATATCGTATAATTATTTTTCTCAAATGAAACCCACTTTCTCATTTTGTTTTTTTACATAAGTAATTTCCCCCCAAACTTCACTGCAAACTTATTAAAACAATTGCTTTACTTTTGAGTCTAATGCAAATCTAATCTCTTTTATTGTTTATTATATTTGGACAAAGTTTTTTTTTATGTGTGCATGAAGATAGAAAATCTTGGGTCAGATACATATGTATAACCTAAAAATTAGGTTAGCTTAATAACCAAGTTTCATGATTAGACAGATCTCAAGGTTGAAATTCAAATTAATGTTTTTATGAACCTAATTTTATTAATTGAATTGTATCTTCTTCAAGCAGAATTTCAATAACTATTTCACGAAAAATAAATTAACTATGATCTACAAAGGAATATCCATTTATATATTTTTAGTTAAAATTTTCCAATCGTGTACACCACAATGATATATTTTTCAATTTCATACTACCATGATATAAGAGACGTTTCTTTTTTCTAAATTATATCACAGTAAATGTAGTTTTTTTAGTATATTTATCTAATTTTTATGCAAGAAAATGAGAAATCAAATGACAACCCTATTTGGTATTATATCATAACAAAAATGTAATATTTTGTTTGTACTACTACAGATATGTTTACTAATACACACACATAGTTTTATATTAAAAAAAAAATAATCATGTGCATACTACATTAGTTGTTATGAAGTGAAAATGACAACTTTCTAAGTAAAATATATTATTACAATGATGTATTTCTTAAAATACACCTACATAGTTTAGTCATGTGCCACCATGATACACGATAATTCCTACATGATAAAATTTACTAAAATATTCCTAGATTCTTTTTTTAGAACATATAACAGTAAATGTCATTTTGAAGAGTATTTTTTTTAATCTTTCCATGCATAAATACGAAATCCGAGTTAAAACGAATAAGATATATTGCGTCAAAATTATTGTTGAAGTGGTTATGTATTTTTTATTAATTTTAGGGTTATGCACCTAAACACGTTTCATAATAATTACCTTTTGTCTTTCAAAAAAGAAAAAAAATAGAAATGTGATTCAGTTACCTTTTTCGTATTTCAACTTTGCTCAAGTCACCATTGTTCGCAAAATTCTCTTTGCTTTTCCATCTTTTTTCCTCCCACAACCATAGCTCATTTTTTTGCATACTTTTCTATGTCGGCTCTGCTCAAACCTCTGTCATTCGTAAATACGTTAAAATCATAACATTCTCCTCATTTTGATTTTGCTTGATTGTTGGTTAATTAATAATTAGAACAAGCAAGGTCACCACCTTTCCACATAAATATGCATTTTGACTTCACTCAAGCTGCCTTTGTTCCAAATTCTTTCACCATACCTATATAGATTGGATTTATACAATCTCTCATCTCCGATCAATTCTAAATAACAAATCTTCAATTTTCAATAAGAATACATCAATTACTCTATGCTAGCCATCACTTAATTCATATAAGTAGTTTGTGAGAATGTTATGAGAGAACTCAATTGCATAATGGAAAACTAAAACTCAATTCAGTTCTAATAATATGACCATTAAACTATAAGGAGGAACGTTAGAGCCCACTGCTATTTTTTGGATCTTTGGTTATTGAATTATTATTGTATGATAATGTAAAGTGGAGGCGAAGTGTCCCTAAAGCTAATTTTTATATAATTATTTAAAGATTAAGGGTAATACATAATTATAAATATATAGATTGGTAGTATAGAACAACAACTACACCTCAAGAACATGCTCTTGATATGCAATTGTCTCTCCCTTTCATTTATGTTATGTCAAAAAATAAAGTACATCATGGAAAAAGAATGGTGCATAACAATCGTATCTTTTGGCTTTAGGTATATGAGTGCAAGATGGATAGATATTTGAATGATGTGCATGAATTATACCTATATATAAGAGGTCGAATTTAGCATTGATTGAGCAGTCTACTACCACCACAAGAATGTTCAACTACTAAGTTTGTTGAGTTATACATTCATCAAATGAAGATATAGGTTGAAATGACTCAAATTCGATCCTTATATATGATAATTTTAATCATTTGCGTGAATTTTTGTTGCAGGACTGAAAAATGTTGACGCTCACAATATTTGGCCCGAACATATAGATCCACGTAAGATAAAATCAACGAAAAGATATGTACAACATATGAAGTTTAAAATTGTTGGTCAATCAAAGATCATATGATTGTGAATATGATCTTCAAAATGATGATGAAGTATTAACTCTTATTGCTTTACATGATAATGGCTCCTAGCCGGTCCTCCTATCAGACAAAGCTCGAATAATAAATAATTTTCATAAATATAAACGGAAAAATAGTAACCTACCACTATAAAAAAAAACATGCCATCCACCGGATGGGTACAAAACTAGTATTCTTTATGTTTGTTTTCCTTTAACCTATCCTTAACATATCTTTCAAGTTCTATAATTTGTGTGCCTCCCTAAGACCTATAGAAAAAAGTATAGGTTCATGAAAGGGATCTCCAGAATATTGGGCAGGTATCGCTGAACCGAGCAAAATACTTTATGCAATGGGAGTAGGAGAAAGTATTGTCGGCTCTTCGCAACTAGTGTTCTAGTATGTTTCAAGGTTGTGTTGTTCAACCATTAAAGCAGTATGTGAGCTGGGTTCAGTACATCATGAGACAGTACAGTCAATTTCTGGTGTAGGCATTAGAGCATTGAGATTACCTTTCCTTAATTAGTACGAGTTGACTAGTGAGGACACACATATGGTGCACCAATCATGGTTCCCAAGAGCATGCAAATGGTCTTCGCTTTCCTTGAACTTCATGATCATTTCGTCTACGAATACCTTCACATCTTTGTGCATCATATCATGGAGCAGAACCATCGACCATGCATTGGTCTGTGGGGATAAGTTCCGTTCATATCCTTGGAAAACAAACGACCCGTTTACAAGTCTATTTTGGGTGAATGGCGTGGAAAATATCCCGTTGCATGATAGAATTTTGAGGAATAGAAATAAATGTATGATTAAGTTACTAGAGATACCATGTCAAAAACCAGTTAATCTCAATAACGGCGATTCCATCTCCACGTTCTCCCTTTCCTTGTCGGCAATTACTTTTAGTTATATTTATTAA